GGCATGTTCTGAGGGTTTGGGAATATTTGTGAATTTATAGGACGAAGAGGTAGGTCGGTGAACTCCCGAGGGGGCACAAGCCAGGGGCGCAACCCCCCTATGGCGCGCCCCTACAGCTTGCCGTCACCTCGTGGGTCTTCTGACTTCATCTCCAAGTCTCATAGGTGTCTTCTGGTCCAAGAAAAATCATTGCGAAAGTTTTATTCCGTTTGGACTTCGTTTGATATTCCTTTTCTGCGAAACTCAAAAATAAGGAAAAAACAGAAACTGGCACTGGGCTCTAGGTTAATAAGTTAGTCCAAAAATAATATAAAATAGCATAATAATACATATAAAACATCCAAAACAGATAATATAATAGCATGGAACAATAAAAAATTATAGATACGTTGGAGACATGTCAAGTCGGCGTGCATGTCTAACGTGAAAAGTTGCCTGGGGATGAAGATGTCCCCAGTGTTGATGCCATCTCCGACGATCAGGCGAGCCATCGATCCTTCGGCAATCCAACAATGGAACTCTCAATGAAAGTACCAATGCCAGTGTCAAAACCCGTGGATCTCGGGTAGGGGCTCCCGAGCTGTGGATCTTGGATCAATGGGGAATAAGGGACCAAGGACACGGTGTTTACCCAGGTTCAGACCCTCTCTAAGAGGTAAAAACCCTACGTCCTGCTTGATTATATTGATGTATATGATGATTACAGAGTCGATCTACCACTGGATCAGATGAACTAAACCCTAGACTAGTAGGATGATGGCTGTTGTTCTAGCCTCTAAGGACTAAACCCTCTCGTTTATATAGACACCATGGGTACTAGGGTTACACATGGTCGGTTACTAGAAAGGAATAAACACGTTGAATCTACTGATCTTGACTTGGAGGACACACCAAGGAACCAAAAAGCTTTCTGTTTGGATACAGGGTCTCCTCGTAGCTCGGCCTCCTAGTACTGGCAACGCGACCCAATAGTCTGACCCACAAGGGATAGGCCGACAGGCCGAGGACCCCCTAATTCAGGACTCCCTCAGCAACTTCAGTGATGCAAAACATGGCAAGTTTAATGACTTGCAAATGGCAGCTTTTCTATTTGGCCATGGCATATTTTATCCATGTTTTTCATTTTTACTCTTTTTCAATGCACATGGCAAGTTCAATGACCCATCATAGCAAGTTCCTCTTCATGCACATGGCAATTCCATTTGTTTCAGACATGGCAAGTTCACCCATGCTCACATGGCAATTTACTGACCTACAACATGGCAATTCCAATGCTGGTGGCAAGTTTTCCCATAATTCTCATTTCTTTTCATTTCTATAATGCACATGACAAGTTATTTGACTAACACACAGTTCCACTAAGGCACATTCCTTTTTCTTCTCTTTTGGAACTAAATTCTAATGCAGTTTTTTGTATTTTTTAGAGTGATTCACATGTGGCAAGTTCATTCATATAAAACATTGCAAGTTCAGTCACAGTCACATGCCAAGTTACTTATGCTAGAGAATTCTCACCTGCGTAAGAGGATGTGGGTGTCACTGTCGTCCTTGTCCTTCACACGACATCATCTTTCGCCCCTGCATTTTTTACCATAAGTTTTTGTGTTTACAAAACTTCATTTTTATATTTAGGATATGTATTCTTCTTAAATTTTTCCAGCTCACCACATAATGCCCCTAGCAATTGTTGTTGTTGTATTGTGTGTGTACTACCTCTAGGCTCTCCTTGTTCTTTTGGCCAGTACATCATGGCAGATGTGGATGTGTCAAACCCACCTGCATTTTCTTTCGAGCCAATCAATTTTTTTGCGTAAGGTGCTTTTCAATTTGTCTTAACGCATTTTGTCTATCCTCTACCTATGTCCATGTACTGCTGCAGGAGTGGCAACAAAGGTCCATTTGAGTTTAGCTCCTCATAATCCTGCGCACTCCATGGGGGTACTTGTAGTGAGCCATAGAACCAGGGATTCCCTCCATTGCCTTCCTCCATCCTGCTTTGTTTGCCTTTTGTATCTTTTAAATCTGTGTCAAAACAAACCATTAAAACATTTTTGTATGACATGGCAATATCAGTAGTGCACACATGGCAATATTAGTACTGCACACATGGCAACATTTGTTAAGAATGCATGACCAATGGCAATATTAGTAGTACACACATGGCAAAAAACCATTTTCAATAGGGTTTTTTTGAAATAACAACTGTTTGTTATTCTCGTTCTAACATTTCACTCTTTTTATTTGGAATTCACATACACATGTCAATTTAGTTGCTCGCATTCCAGTTTTCCATGTCATCTATGTATCTCCTCTTCAGCATTGAAATGTCGCATTAGTCTACTTCCTTTGTTGCCAAATGCACTAAGCTAATTTGTATCAACACATGGCAACATCTTATCTCATAGGCTGGCAATTTTTTAATGCAATTTTCATGCGCTTATTTCATCAGAAAAGTAGACACATTTTCTACAGCAAATCAATCTGTAGATGACATTTCTAAGTACCAATTCCATGGTAATAGGCATATCATACACATGGAAACAATATTGTAAGCCCACCTTTTCTCCATGTGTGGTACTTTCTATTTTACTTGTCACTACCATACAAATAGATGGCAAGAATGGCGGACCACAAGCGGCAACAATTTCTGTAGCACACAGCATATTTCTCAATTTAATCATGCATGCCCTTTTGACAACCAGGCTAACTTGTTCATGTCATGAATATAAGCAATAACATGGCAAGATTTACAAGGTAGGGAAGGGAGACGGGGCCAGGTAGGGAGGAGGGGGAGGAGAGGGTGCGTGGGTGAGGAAAACTAACCTGCAATTAGCTCAGATCTGGGCTATGCTTCGTCAGATCTTGTCATGGCAACCTCCTTGGGGAGCAAAAATGTTGTTGATGGAGAGGAAGGGCAAGGGGAACAATGGAGGGCAAGGGGAGGGGGAACAATGGAGGGAATCATGGGTGGAAAGGGTAGGTGACAGCGAGTTAGATCCGCCGACTGGTTGGATGGCGGGGTAGTCGCCTTGTTACAGGGATTCGTGCGCGCTTTCGGGCTTTATGAAAGCGTGACCGAACACTTTTGTTCGGTACACGCTGTTCCCCGCTCCAAACGACTAGTTCAAACCGGAGTCCAATAGCTCCGAACGTTCTCGCGATATCGACGTTCAAAATTTATAGGGACACCTACAAAAACCTTTTCTTTCACCCACTTTGCTCTCTTCCAATTAATAATCATCCTATGTACTATACGTGTGTATGTATAGAATCATTAAAGTAGCATCAATGTACATGTCGTAGTCAGGTCTATCGCAGTGATCTCTCCGAAGAAAGCCGGATTGAAAACACGGGAAAATGAAGATCAACGGCTTGAAAACACGCCAAGACAGAGACGGAACAGAACACTACGTCCAAATTCCTACTGGATTCCAGACACGAGCAATTTGATAGAATGGCACACTTTTCCTCATACTTTGATATAATAGCACATTTTTCTTTTTATTGGATTAAATGGCACACCTTTGATTCATGGCTAGATAAAATGGCACAAACTTTGCTCAACTTTTTGGTTGGGCATGCACATAATATTTTATAGGACGATTTTGCCCCTCGGTCGGTTTAAGCTGTTTACTGGTTCGAGACAGAACATCACGGTGGCCTCGCTCTCCTCGCTGTGCGTCCGCCTCGGCGCACCGCCCGTCCCATCATGGTTGCATCGAAGTATGGCTCCTCCCCAGCGCTCCACCCGCCTGCTCCGTCTCGCCGCGCTCCGGCCGCACCCTCGCCGGTCGAAGAGAAAAGGCACCGCCCCTTCAAGCGCCTCGCTGCTGCAGCTCTAACCTCCGAGTCGACGCTCGGCACAGTTGTCCACGGCGCAGCAGCGCGTCGATGTACATGTCACTGCTGGCCGCGCTGGAGCAGCATTTGCGGCTGTAGCGGTGCTCGCTTGCTGTCGCTGCTCGCTTCCTGTATATGGGTTGAGCTAAAAAAAAGGACTGCAGCTTGAGTTCAAATCTTGCCAACGCCAAGTTTTGTCCTAAAAAACCGATTGTAGCTGAAAATTATATGGATTGATGGATTTAGCTGTAGCTTCTGTCAACAAGACATATGGACTAGAGATGCTTGTTCATACGGATGTAATCAAAAATCAGATTGGTTGGCTGTCCATATGTTAACTGCCCCGTCTCAGTTCCTGGGCTAAATGATGGTTTGAGAAAGGGGGTCGCCTTTTCTCTTCTGTCGGCGAGCGAGCGGCCGGAGCGCGGCGAGACGGGGCAGACAGGCGAAGCGCTGGGGAGGAGGCACACTTCCATGCGTCGGCAGTGGGACAGGCAGTGCGCCCGGGCATGGAGAGGAGAGCGAGGCGGCGGCGCTATTGTGTCTCGCTGCCTGGTCTGTCTCTGTTTTGATCCAAACAGATCGAAAGCGACCAGGTTCAATCAAACCAGTAAACAGGTCAAACCGACTGAAGGGCAAAATCGTCCTACAAAATATTACGTGTGGGCTCACACCTAAAAATTGAGCTAAAAAGTTAGTTTGTGTCATTTTATCTATCCATGAATCAAAGGTGTGTCATTTAATCCAATAAAAAGAAAGGTGTGCTATTGAATCAAAGTACAAGGAAAAGTGTGTCATTTTATCAAATTGCTCCTCCAGACACATGGCACCGACCGACCACCCTCCTCGTCCACGGAGAAAAGGAAGGCTCCAGCCAACAGCCGCTGAGCAGACCCATCGTCGCCGTCCCCCCGCCCCCGGGCGCGCGGACCACCACGAGACGGACGTTCATAGACCGGCACCCGTCCGTGCGCCTACGCGGGCGGGCAGAGGCGCCCACGTGCCGCCGCAGAGTTAAAACCAAAACTGCTTCCCCGAAACGAAAGCCAAGCCAAGATCCTAACCGACTGCCTCGTACCGATAACCGCGTCACGCCACGCGGCGTTCACAGTCCAGGGAACTCACCAACGGCCGGAGCCCCGATCGACTGACTGCGTCGCATGGAGCGGAGGCGCCCGCAGATCGCGCCGTCGCCGCCGGTGTCGCGGCGGAAGGCCGCGGCGGCGGCGAGCCAGGAGTGGCTGGTGGTGCCGGCGGCGGGCGAGCGGCGCGCGGGGGAGTTCGGGAGGCACCGGATCATGGAGATGACGGGGCTCCCGGCCCGCGACCTCCGCATGCTCGACCCGCTCCTCGCCTACCCGTCCACCATCCTCGGCCGCGACCGCGCCATCGTCGTCAACCTCGAGTACGTCAGGGCCATCGTCACCGCCGCCGAGGTGCTCGTCCGCGACCCCAGCAACCCGCGCCTCCGCCCCTTCCTCCAAGAACTCCACGCCCGCCTCGCGCTCCCGGTACTGCCATACCCACCATTAACACCCATCGTCATTCCACCAGTCATGCTACTGTACGATAGATTGATGGCAGATTGCATTTTTCTAACCAACTGATGGTAAGGTGTTGGTTTCATCTGCATTTTTGGCCTGATTCTGTTGGCTCCTGCTTCTGCGTGAAGGATGCGGCTACCACGACTCCGGCAACAACCGACGGCGGTGATGATCAGGGCAACGTGCCAATCTCCGGCAGCGCCAAGATCCCGCCCTTCGAGTTCAAGGTGCTCGAGGTCTGCCTCGAACACACATCCAAGTGCATGGAAACCGAGGTACACACTACTACAATAAGCAGCCTGTTAAACCCATGATCTGTCAAATGCGCGTGCTACCAACTTACCATGTTTCTCTTGGTGCAAAAATCAATGGTGGTAGACGTCGGTCCTCGAGAGCGAGGCGTATCCGGCCTTGGACGAGCTGACCACCAAGGTTAGCACGAGCAACCTGGACGACGTCAGGCAGATCAAGAACCGCCTGGTCCAGCTATCAGGCCGCGTGCAGAAGGTACTAACATAACTGATGTTCAGGAGCCAGTGTATGCTCCAAGTTTAAGCTGAGAGCCACTACGTTATCAATTCAATTATTCATTTCATCGTCGGTTTGCGCCGTCGTGGCCTCCTTGATTCGCAGGTGAGAGATGATATCGAGCACTTGCTAGACGACCACACGGATATGTGCGAGATGTATCTGACGAGGAAGCTTGCGTTTCAAGGAGTCAACAACGAGTCGTCGGTTAATGTGGATTCCAACAAGCATGCATTCCCTGATCAAGATCATGATCATGAGAAGTATGTCACGTATAGCTAATGAGTCTTCTTTCTGGTTACTGGGATCAGATTGATTAAGAGCTATAGCATCCTGAACTTGCTTGAACAAACCAAGCACAATTCGATGATGCTAGGCTTAATTGAAAGATGGAAAGTTATTACTCTTCACATTAATCTTCCATATTTACTTGGATTCAGGGAGGAAGAAGACCGTGGCGGTGATACGGCGAGCTCCCATGGAAGTTCTGCTTGTGTTAAGCACGTTGAAGAGTTGGAAATGCTTCTTGAAGCTTACTTCGTGGAGTTCGATGGCACGCTGAACAAGTTATGCCATGTATGTCACATCTCCTTCTATTCACCACTAGTTATAGTTATTGGCCTAATTGGGAATCCCTGAGACATGATTGCTCTAAAATGATCCTATCAAAATGATTGCCACTATCAGGTTCAGCACACTGACTATTTGCTCCAGATTCATTACACCAGATAAAAGCGCGCGCGCGCGCACACGCACACACACACACACTTCTTGGTAGTGTTATGAATATAAACTACATTTCCACATGCACCTTTCTGATTCAATGTGAATACTATGGTCTTTAGCTGTTGGCTTATAAAGTGTTCCAAGCGTGTTTCTAACAGCCTTTAATGTGCAAAGCTCCGCGACTATGTGGACAACACTGAAAACTACATCAACCTGATGCTGGACAAGAAACAGAACCAACTGCTGCAGATGGGCGTGATGCTCACGACGGCGACCGTGGTGGTCACCGCGGGCATCGTCGTCGTGAGCTTGTTCGGCATGAACATCCACATCGAGCTGATGGCGGATCCGGAGACCCCCGAGATGGCGAGGATCAAGAACATGAAGTTCTGGGAGACCACCTGGGGCACCGTCGCCGGCTGCGCCGCCATATACCTCTTGGCCATCTATGCAGGGAAGAAGAGCAAATATTTGCAGTGATGGCGCTTTATTCTCGGCTCCACACCGGACGGAGGAAGCATCGGACCGCAAGTTCTGCAGTCCAGGCTCACGTTATCGCCGTCACAAAGGGTTTCCCTGCCCTGAGAATATGATACGATAGCTTTCTTTCTGTTTAGTTTTGTCTGGAGATGCAGTAGCTGATGCTTTGGTTTGGGTAGGAATAATTGAATGGTGGCTATAAGATCTGCCCTCTCGTATCATGATTTACAATTTCGTAGTTTTGAATTGTTATTACCTTCCATTTTACTTGTATAAGAAAATTTCCACAAAAAGAAAAAAAACCGTTGACTTCTTTTAAAAAACAAAAAAAAATTGGCCAAATAGTATAAATAGTGACCTATAATAGCAAATGATTTTGTTTTTTTGCCCTGAAGTCAACGTTGGGTTTTTGTTCGAGAAAATTTATATATTGGTGCCAAAAAAAGTCAAGTTTATTTATTAAAACTTCTAAACTTTTTTAATTATTAATTATTATTTTCTCATATATGTGTGTATGCACCCACGAACCAAAGAGTACTTTTACAATGACAACTTCCTACTCTCCGGGCTGCACCCCCTGCTGCAGCTCAACAGTGTAATTCATAGGTAGCCCCTGGTGTATAAGAGTAAGGCCCAGTTCTCTTCACACAGGATTCTGCAGAATCAAGATTTTGGAAAATTCTCCCAGAATCTGTTGCCGAGTTCTTTTTTGGGATTGTAGATTGAGATTCTGGAAAGAGCTGTGTGTTGAAATGTTTGTAGTATCCTTAGACAAAAATTGTTTGATGAATTTATTAACACCTTGTTGTTTCTAACAGTATCTAGTTGAATATGAGTATGAAAGTGATTTGCGAATGTCATAAAAAGTGCTAAATATTACATTTGGAATGGATTTAAAGATTTGTTCATTACAAAAGTGGATGAACTAAAAAATGGATAATCTCAAGGTACGAGACTAGCAGCAATCACCTCGCGTATTGCGTTCATGGTACCATCATCTTCTGATGGCAGAGCATTGGCACCTGTAAGCAATGGAGGTTGCACATATGCATCATTGTCGAACTTGTCAAAATGCTCATTACGTAACTTGCTATCACGAATCCAATTGTGAAGACACATGCATGCAGTGACAATCATCTTTTGGGTCTCCGGTTTGTACCGAGGTATGCTTCCAACTCCAAGAATTCGCCATTTCATCTTGAGAACACGAAATGTTTTTTCGATGACATTTCGCAAAGAAGAATGTCGATAGTTGAATGTCTCATATCTCCCAACTGGTGGGTGTTGTTGGAAATTTGGTACATGGTATCGTTGCCCTTTGTATGGAGATAGATATCCAACCCTGTTTGGATAGCCAGAGTCGACAAGATAATATTTATCTACAGTACGACATCAACAAAAGAGATTAGAAATTTACAACATACCATCATGTATATAATAATATGGATACATGCAAGATGTTACCTGTGGGGGGTCGTGGAAAGTGATCATAACGAACTATGGCATCGCTCCATGCACGTGTGTCATGAGCAGATCCGGGCCATCCAGGAACAACAAATGTGAACCTCATATCAAAATCACACACTGCCATAACATTTTCACTTGTGTAACCTTTCCTATTCCTGTGTTGGGGCTCCAACTCCTTAGGCACAATCACCTTAATGTGTGTTTCATCAATGGCTCCAATAGCATGTTAAAAATAAGGCCAAAACTTTGTTTTTCTAAGTATTGGGTGTGGTTCAGAGAAAGTTGGATCAATTGGTCTTATGTAATCACCGGCCATGCGGTCTACACACTCCAAAACCTCGTGGAATTTTTTATTAATGACAGAACGACTATGTGCAAACTAATCTGCGACATTATCAGTTGTCTGACATGTACCCACGGTCCATAAAAATTGTGACAATGCTTCTTTGGATGAAATGTTGGAAGTTGACTCAAACCCATACTTCTGAAACGTTTCTCCATGGCGTTCCGGGCGTAATTTCTCCATGGGATAGGGGTACACTTATATTTTAAAACGTTTTCACTGATGGGACTTGCCAAAATCTCAGGATTCTAGGAAAATCAAGCTTTTTGGATGCTTTTGGATTGCACTAGGATTCTAGAGAATCCTCTCTAGATTTTGAAAGTCAAAACGAGTTCTTTTGGCTCCAGATTTTCCAAACCAAAATTCTCCACAATCTGCTCAAAAGAATTGGGCCTAATTTCCCTCTGTCCAACCAGCTACCTCGCCCATGGCTTTTGGCATATACCCACCCACATCGCCATCGTGTTCTGACCACAAGAGGTTTAAACATTGAGAAATCCAACTCAACAAAATTCATAGGATCCTACATTATTACTCAAAAATTATGTGTTTTTAACTTGAGCTCGCAAATGTTAACAAAACATTGTTCTTTCAGACTCAACAAACGTCGTATGTCCCCGCAAAAAAAAAAACGCCGTATGTGTATGTATATAAAATCAGTGTACATGACGTAATCGGACCCATCGTAGTGATCTCTTCCAGGAAAATCGGATTTAAAACACAGGGAGGTAAAACCTGCCAAGAGAGAGACATTGGTACCATGGGACAAGCATACGTGCCGAACACAACAGTGCTACGTCCAAATGCCTACTGGCTTCCAGACAAGTGGCACCGCCGCACCGATTGACCATCCTCGTCCACGGAGAAAAATAACGCTCCGGCCAACAACCGTGGCCGGCCCGCCGGGCAGATCCCTCGTCGCCATCCGCGCGACCGTGACCCGTAATAAGCGCCGCGCCTACACCACACGGGACATGTGGTAAGCTGTTTTCGAGCTCCTCAGCGAAGACCTCGTACCGAGATAAGTAACCGCGTCACGCCACGCGGCCTCGGTAGTCCACGAGATTGACCAAGCGACCCCGCGCATGGAGCGGAGGCAGCCGCAGACCGCGCCGGCGCCGCGGCGGAAGGGCGCGCCGGCGGCGAGCCAGGAGTGGCTGGTGGTGCCGGCGGCGGGAGAGGAGAGCACGGGGGAGTTCGGAAGGCACCGGATCATGGAGATAACGGGGCTGCCCGCGCGGGACCTCCGCATGCTCGACCCGCAGCTCTCCTACCCGTCCACCATCCTCGGCCGCGACCGCGCCGTCGTCGTCAACCTCGAGCACGTCAAGGCCATCGTCACCGCCGCCGAGGTGCTCGTCCGCGACCCCGGCAACCCGCGCCTCCGCCCCTTCCTCCAAGAACTCCGCGCCCGCCTCGCGCTCCCGGTACGAACGGCCAAACACCCATCTCGCCACTTCACTAGTAGTCCACTCAATAGCCATGCATGCTTGCTACGATATGGCGGCGAGTTATCTGCACTGTTCGCCTGATTCTGTCGCCGGTACCTGCTTCTGCGTGAAGGATGCGCCTACCACGAACCCGGCAACCGACGACATAGAGCTGGGTGGTGATCGGGGGAACGTGCCGATGCCTGGCAGCGCTAAGATCCAGCCCTTCGAGTTCAAGGTGCTCGAGGTCTGCCTCGAGCACACATGCAAATGCATGGAATCCGAGGTACACTGGTACACTATATAGGCAGGCTTCGGCTGTTGAACACATGATCTGTCAAAAGCGTGTGAACTTAATTACCATGTTTTCTCTTGGTGCTAGACGTTGGCCCTCGAGAAGGAGGCGTATCCGGCCTTGGACAAGCTGACTTCCAAGGTTAGCACGCTCAACCTGGAGCACGTCAGGCAGATCAAGAGCCGCCTGGTAGAGCTAACAGGGCGCGTGCAGAAGGTAAGAGTACTGATTATATACTCCTTCTGTCCCAAGTTACTTGTAGAAATGGATGTATCTTGAATCATGAGCTGGTGTATGCTTAAATTTTAAGGCCCTTCCCACTACTCACCTTGTAAAGGTGTTAAGCCTGCCAAGTAGGCATAAAATCTGACGTGATAAGTTAATTATGAAGAGAGATTTGTTTAATGACCCTGAGAAGAAAAGATAATAAAAGCATGTACCTAGGTGGAAACATAGTTCTGTGTCTACAACTAATTAGATGAAGAAAGCTTAGCAACAAAAAAATAAGCACACATGTTGGCTATTAGGTTTGATTATAGGTGGCATGGCAACTCCGTATAGACGGTTGTTGGTGGATTTGGAGCACTCGGGTGCTCCACCCCCGTATATGAGTATGAAATTCAAAAACAAACCAAGAAAATTAAAAAAAAAACTGAAATTTTAGGATATCATATCTTGGTGCCCAATCTACTTGCATGTGAAGTCTCATGAAAAAATACTAGGAAACATATTCTCGGTAAAAAGACAAAAAAATCTATGTATAGAAAAAAACTGCTTGGATGAATCATAGGTCGGACTATATTTCTTTCACCACAGATACATTTTATGGGTTTTTTTTCATAAAACTTCACACGGGAGTGGATTAGGCATTCAAGTTTGATGTCCCCAAACTCCAGGGTTTTTTGAATTTTCTCGTATTTTTTGAATTTAATATCGCTATAGGGGGTGGAGCACCTTTTTTCGCGAATACACGACGTATATTTCCGTTGTTGGCTATACTACTAACCATGCTCTAATACGATGCTTAACCCTCCCTTTTTCATTTAATTTCATGCCATTCATCAAAATTGTCTAGTTGGCATGCATGACATTCCTAATTCTTGGCTACGTTATCATAGACAAAATGCTGATGTGGCACCGTAATTAAAGGAAAGAGAGTGGAGTTTTATGTTAGCGAAGATACGACTCTTAGCTCGTTTTTTTGTGCAATGTAATTAATGGTTTTATCCGCTGTGGCTTGTCTCCTTAATTTTCCCTTCTTTTCTTCTCTCCACAACTAGGCCATAATGTTAAAATGCAAAAAAAAAAGATCCCTAAACTAATTAAATGCAATATCACTTGGATACAACCCCTAAAGATACAATGCATTGGGGTGATTGTCTCTACAAAAAATCTCTACCTAGGATAACGTGTTAAGAGACAATTCATTGTTAAGTTACCATCATATAGTGTTTCCCAATAAGAA